AGTCTTCAACCAACTATAAAGTCAGAGTAGCAGATGAGGAAGAAGGCAAAAAGTGCGAATTCTGCGAGGCAGACAGGGTGTTTGATGTAATAGCCATATGATTAGCAAAACTGTCACATCAAACTTTTTCCAGCAAAGTGGGAACACTCTGCCACTCCATATTTTTATAAGTGACATTCTGATTCATGACTGTAAATAGCAACCCATGTTCAATATTGTGACAAAGAACAGAACGGGTTTTTTTTTAGAATGCTCTGTATCAGAATATATATATATATATATATATATATATATATATATATATATGTATGTGTGTATGTGTATATATATATGAGATGATTTGGCAAGGCAAGATCCTTTCTGCTTTGAAGGCAGCACATTTTTTTTAACCAACCAGCTGTACAATTGCTTCCCAAGAAAAACTTTCTACCTACTGAAAAGCAGTGGAGTCAGACACTCAAAGTAATGAAGCATGCATCCCGACATTGATCCAGATGCTTAGAGCGCGAACTTTACACTCATAGGCGTACACAATGGTAGTGCAAATCTATCTTATGAGTGAACTGCAAACCGTGCAACCAATGGAAAACATGTGCATAAGATCCAATGTGCATGCATAATGGCAGCACATGTACAACAAATATGTGTCTGTGTGTCTTATATGATTTCTACAAACACACACTTGACAGGGTTATTGTAGGTTTTTTCAGGCTATATGGCCATGGTCTAGAGGCATTCTCTCGTGACGTTTCGCCTGCATCTATGGCAAGCATCCTCAGAGGTAGCGAGGTCTGTTGGGACTAGGAAAAAGGGTTTATATATCTGTGGAATGACCAGGGTGGGACAAAGGACTCTTGTCTGCTGGAGCTAGGTGAGACTGTTTCAACTGACCACCTTGATTAGCATATAATGGCCTGACAGTGCCTAGAGCAAACTTTTGTTGACACACTTGACAGATACAAAATGGGGGATGCCTGGCTCGAGAGCAGTACGTGTGAAAAAGATCTTGGAGTCCTCGTGGACAACAAGTCAAACATGAGCCAACAATGTGATGTGGCGGCAAAAAAAGCCAATGGGATTTTGGCCTGCATCAATAGGAGCCTAGTGTCTAGATCTAGGGAAGTCATGCTACCCCTCTATTCTGCTTTGGTTAGACCACACCTGGAATATTGTGTCCAATTCTGGGCACCACAATTGAAGAGAGATATTGACAAGCTGGAATGTGTCCAGAGGAGGGCAACTAAAATGATCAAGGGTCTGGAGAACAAGCCCTATGAGGAGCGGCTTAAGGAGCTGGGCATGTTTAGCCTGAAGAAGAGAAGGCTGAGAGGAGATATGATGAAGGCCATGTATAAATATGTGAGAGGAAGCCACAGGGAGGAGGGAGCAAGCTTGTTTTCTGCTTCCCTGGAGACTAGGACGCAATGGAGCCATGGCTTCAAACTACAAGAGAGGAGATTCCATCTGAACATGAGGAAGAACTTCCTGACTGTAAGAGAGCCGTTCAGCAGTGGAACTCTCTGCCCCGGAGTGTGGTGGAGGCTCCTTCTTTGGAAGCTTTTAAACAGAGGCTGGATGGCCATCTGTCAGGGGTGATTTGAATGCAATATTCATGCTTCTTGGCAGGGGGTTGGACTCAAAATATTGCACCAAGTTGGCACTAAAAAAAATGAAGTGGGTAAGGATGAAAATGTTCCCATCCTGTTCTTGGAAGCCTAGCACTACACACAAAATCAACCCTGTGTCTTTCCTTCACCTCCAAAAGAATAAATGCACAACCTCTGGGGATGCTTGCCATAGATGCAGGTGAAACGTCAGGAGAGAATGCTTCTAGAACATGGCCATATAGCCCAAAAAACCTACAACAACCCAGTGATTCCAGCCATGAAAGCCTTCGACAATACAGAATCCATGCAGTTTGATACTTTAGCTTAGATGGCTCAATGTTTTGGAATGCTAGGAGCCGTAGTTTGGTGAGGGACCAAGACTCTTTGGCAGAGAAGGATTGTAAAACTCTAGCTTCCAAGGTTCCCCAGCATTGTTAAAGTGGTATCAGACTGCATTCATTCTGCAGTGTACATGTGCCCACACTATGCTGATATTTCCACCATGAGATGCCTGCAAACTCCCATCCATCCGTCTGTCCATCCATCTCGCTGTCTGCCACTTTGGAGAATATCTTGCAGGAGACACAAACGGAGTCGCGATGGTGGGCCAGCCAGACATCCAAAGCAGACTGGCAAACGCTCTAATTTGTCCGTTCATCAATATGTTTTTCCTGAAAGGGACCATATGCTTCCCTGGAGCTCCCCATATGGTTTCGAGGAAGACGAAGAAGCAAGAGGAAATGGCAATATTTGGTTAGTCACAAGCCACTGAGCAGCACGGATTTTTGGCAATAGGAGGAGATGCCAGGCAGAGCATCGCACGCAGACAAGAATGTGCTTCAACCTTGGATGCATCTACTACACTCTAGAATAAATGCACTTTGGCATCACTTTAACTGCCGTGGCTCAATGATATGAAGTCCTGGGAGTTGTAGTGTGACAAAGTCTTTAGCCTTCTCAAGCCTGAACTCTCCAAACAAGCCAAGATGACTTAAAGGTCCAACTAACAGAACTAATATTTTGGCACCACTTTGACTGCCAGTGCTATTGGGTACCCTGGGATGTATACTTTGGTGAGGCGCCAGCACTCTTTGGCAGAGAAGGCCACATGAAACTACAACTCCTAGGATTCCCTAGCATTGTTTCATGGCAGTTTTAAGTTGTGCTAAACCATATTAATTCTACATTCTGAAATGATTGCAAACTTTTTAGCACTTTGATTTTCATTTGCAATAATTGGAGTAAGCTGAAAACACAGAAGGAGGTGGATAGATGGCCATCTGTTGGGAGGGCTCAGATTGTGTCTCCCTGCCTGGCAAAATGAATCATAGAATCATAGAGTTGGAAGAGACCTCCTGGGCCATCCAGTCCAACCCCCTGCCAAGAAGTAGGAATATTTCATTCAAATCACCCCTGACAGATGGCCATCCAGCCTCTGCATAAAAGTTTCCAAAGAAGAAGCCTCCACCACATTCTGTGGCAGAGAGTTCCACTGCTGAATGGCTCTCACAGTCAGGAAGGTCTTCCTCATGTTCAGATGGAATCTCCTTTCTTGTAGTTTAAAGCCATGGCTCCATTGCGGCCCAGTCTCCAGGGAAGCAGAAAACAAGCTTGCTCCCTCCTCCTCCCTGTGACTTCCTCTCACATATTTATACATGGCTATCATGTCTCCTCTCAGCCTTCTCTTCTTCAGGCTAAACATGCCCAGGTCCTTAAGCCGTTCCTCATAGGGCTTGTTCTCCAGACCCTTGATCATTTCAGTTGCCCTCCTCAGAACACATTCCAGCTTGTCAATATCTTTCTTGAATTGTGGTGCCCAGAACTGGACACAATATTCCAGGTGTGGTCTAACCAAAGCGGAATAGAGCATGGGGAGCATGACTTCCCTGAATCTAGACACTATGCTCCTATTGATGCAGGCCAAAATCCCATTGGCTTTTTTTGCCACCACATCACATTGTTGGCTCATGTTTAACTTGTTGTCCACGAGGACTCCAAGATCTCCAAGATCTTTTTCACACGTACTGCTCTCGAGCCAGGCCTCATCGTCCCCCATTCTGTCTCTTTGCATTTCGTTTTTCCTGCCAAAGTGGAGTATCTTGCATTTGTCACTGTTGAACTTCATTTTGTTATTTTTGGCCCATCATCTCTCTAATCTGTCAAGATCATTTTGAATTCTGCTCCTGTCCTCTGGAGTATTGGCTCTCCCTCCCAATTTGGTGTTGTTGGAAGTTAGACTAGATGACCCTTGGGTTCTCCTCCAGTGTCTATGATTCTAAGTCAGAGACCTGATGCCACAGAACAACAAACAACAGCAGAAATGGAAGAGAAAGGGAATTAATGAGTGGGTTCAAGCATAACATGGCTATAGCAAGAAAGAGGAGTGACCGACAACTCGCCCATTGTCCCTGCTTGTCATCCTCCAAGCGAGTGTCAAGAGAGCAAAATGAGCGAGAGAAATAGAGCTGCGAAATATCTGTATCCAAGCAACTAGTGAGCAACAGCCTTGGACCAAATTCTGACGCACTTTTATTAATTCCCTGTCTGCTTTTCCCCTCTTGCCCTTTATTAATATCCGCAATTGCCTGAGATAAAAGGGATGCTTGAACGACAAAGAACGACTTCTCTTTGCAATTTACAGGTTGAGCAAAAGGACAATTCAAAATTAGGAAGCCAAAAGAAACATTTGGGTGCCACAGGTGGAGGACACCCACTTATTGCTAGATACACTCCAACTAACTTTGCAAGACTTGGAAATAAAATAAAAAGGACTCTGGGAAGGAGTATTGCGCAATCCAATTGACTACGCAATAGAGTTGTGCACAGAAACATTTTCCTTTTGGTACATCCATTCTTTCATTACTTTCATCACCTTGAGGAGCACGTAACGGGAAGGCCCCTCCCGGTACGAAAATCAGCTTGTGTTGGGACTCAGCCTGTGTTTGAACCTGAGCCTGTGCTTGAAGCTGTGATTGTGTTTCAGTCTCCTGATGTTTCTGTGTCTGATGTGGGGAATGAGGAGGGAAATAAGTCTCCTGTTGCTTCTGATGTGGAGGATGATGGGGCTGACTCTACGTTGCAAGATGGAGATACTTTGTTCAATGAGTTTCATGCAGACACTGACAGAGAGGCTTCGGTGCAAAGGGTAGATTCTCATGAGAATGTTTTCAGGCTTTGGGAGGAAGGGTTACTCCCTCCGCCTATGAGCTCTCCAGATTCTAGTTTGGAAAACAGTCTGACACCTGGTAAAGTTAATGAGGAGTCACATAAGCAGAGTCAACGGCTGGAGATTATCCAGAATCAACAATCATACGTCCCCTAATTCAGGCAACCAGTCAAACCCCAAGATTTCCAAATTCGTATTTGCTGTGACACTATAGCTGCCCATCTTACCTCTGTATACAGGGTCCTGATCCAAGAAGGCCAACCTTTACAGGCAACGTTTGAGCAGCCCTGTGAACAGAAACACAGCTGGATTAAGATCAGGTTCTCAGGGTTGGATTAAAGTCCATTATGGAACCCCAGAAAAAAAAATGTTGTTTATTCTTTCTTTTACTTATATCACACTTTTCTCCAATTACAGGATGCAAGATGGTTTCCAATGACTTATGGTGCGGTGTATAAAGAAATGCGTAGTTACCTAACACCAAGAATCCCACAGCTGAACACCACTGTAAAGGATTATATGTAATATCACACTACTGGAAAATAGTATGGTAGCGAGAAGATGTTAGAGGTGTGTAATAGTAGAGTGAACACTGCTTCAGTCTTCTTTTGGTTTAATGCTGCCACCAACCCAAGCTGCTTTAGGATTTTTAAAATGAGTCTTTGAGGTAAACTTTTCCCTTCCCTGCCAACACAGCTCTCCCCTTAGCTCCCAAAATAACTGTTTGGATAAGAGACCTTTCTGTGGTATTAGGATGTTAAAGAGGCTGGAATTATCACAAAGGATTACAGATAGATTGAGGAACGATAGAGACCCTTTTGGAAGTTAAATAGAAAAAGATTTATTTATAAAAACAACAGACAACTAACTTCGTCTGAGAGGCACAAAACACTTGACTTGTTACAAATGTACAGTAGCTTGATGGTTACTTGAAAAGAGTTTCTTCACTTAGTTACATACAGAGCTAATCAAACAGATATAGCTGCTGGTTACAAAAAAAATCCTTCACCCTACTTCAGAGAAATAGCAACGAGTTTCTGACTAACCTAACCTAGGTAGTCCCCTGAGTTATCAGCTAACTCTCCCAGAGGTCTTACCGCTGACTAACTCAGTCTAGAGAACTAATCTCTTGTGCTATCTCCCACAAGAAATCAGGTAGATGTCTGACCCTTCCTGTCAGCTAATCAGCCCTGCCTGACACAGACGCTCTCTCTCTGAAAACCCAGTTTCAAAATCACTTCTTCTTCCCAACTCTCCCAACTCTCATTTCCACAGAAGCTGAAATATTTTCCCTCCTAAGACTTGGTTCCTCTCCTCTGCTCTAGCCAATCCTAAGAGACCTCAAACTCCTCCCATCTTCTAGCTATCCCCACTCAAGATGGCTGCTTCCCTGGCATACACTCTCAAATTGGAGGTTTGCCCTACTGTTATCCAGGCTTCGTTTTCTGGCCTAGTAGGTAAGATTCACTACATAGTGCAAACAATTATTTTAACAGTTTCTATGTATTTTAATTGACTTGTAGATTTGATTCTATTTTAATATCGATACACCATGGATTTTTAAAAAATGTGAGTCACTTTAAGTCTGGATCAAGAGAGAAAAACTGAGTGGTAGTGATGATAATAATCATGGCAACCCATTGGTTGACTCTGCGTAAGTCACACTTTCTCAGCCTCAGAAAGAGGCAAAAGAAAGTCCTCTTCTGGAACCAAAGCTTGGCCTTGGAAATCATAGAATCATAGAATCAGTTGGAAGAGACCTCATGGGCCATCATGCAGTCCAACCCCATTCTGCCAAGAAGCAGGAATATTGCATTCCAATCACCCCTGACAAATGGCCATCCAGCCTCTGCTTAAAAGCTTCCAAAGAAGGAGCCTCCACCACACTCCGGGGCAGAGAGTTCCACTGCTGAACGGCTCTCACAGTCAGGAAGTTCTTCCTAATGTTCAGATGGAATCTCATCTCTTGTAGTTTGAAGCCATTGTTCCGCGTCCTAGTCTCCAAGGAAGCAGAAAACAAGCTTGCTCCCTCCTCCCTGTGGCTTCCTCTCACATATTTATACATGGCTATCATGTCTCCTCTCAGCCTTCTCTTCTTCAGGCTAAACATGCCCAGCTCCTTAAGCCGCTCCTCATAGGGCTTGTTCTCCAGATCCTTGATCATTTTAGTCGCCCTCCTCTGGACACATTCCAGCTTGTCAATATCTCTCTTGAATTGTGGTGCCCAGAATTGGACACAATATTCCAGGTGTGGTCTAACCAATGGTTTGGGTGACCTTGGTGGAGCCCACACTCTCTCAGCTTCAGAATAAGCAAATCCCTGATAAACAACTCTTTGCCTAGGCAAAAAACGCAACAGGTTTAGCTTTTCGGAGTCCTTTTTCTTCACCTTTGGGTCCCTGCATTGCAATCCCATTTCAAAAAGGGGATGATGGGATGTGAAACCACATGGCGTTATGCTCACAAACACACAAACACACAGGCACACAAGACACCTCCCAACACAGCAATGTCAATTGGAAACGAATGTGCGAATGAGCCCCTTGTTCCATTTCTAAATATACCCCGGTTGTCACGACAACCACGGTGCGACTGACGGCTCTCGCACTCGGGGCCTGTATTTATTTAATTGTCAATGGCGCAAGGCTGACTCAGAATAAAGCGCCGCCCGAGACGCCTTATTGCCATGGAGATGGATGGCTTTGAGCTACAGGTGTTTCAGAGCCGCAGAATGAGCTGACGTGAAAAACCCGGAGTCAAAAATTGACGGATGGACAGACTCGGGATGCATCTACACTGCAGAATGAATCCAGTTTGGCACAACTTGAACTGCAGTGTGAAATCCCCAGAAATGTAGTTGCACAAAGTCTTTACAGCACTGGTCACTCATAAAATCATAGAATCATAGAATCAAAGAGTTAGAAGAGACCTCATGGGCCATCCAGTCCAACCCCATTCTGCCAAGAAGCAGGAATGTTGCATTCAAATCACCCCTGACAGATGGCCATCCAGCCTCTGTTTAAAAGCTTCCAAAGAAGGAGCCTCCACCACACTCCAGGGAAGAGTTCCACTGCTGAACGGCTCTCACAGTCAGGAAGTTCTTCCTCGTGTTCAGATGGAATCTCCTTTCTTGTAGTTTGAAACCATTGCTCCATTGCGTCCTAGTCTCCAGGGAAGCAGAAAACAAGCTTGCTCCCTCCTCTTCCCTGTGGCTTCTATGATTCTATGATGGCCATTCTTGTGTTTTCCATATTTCCTGGCATATGGCATGCATCATCTTGAGAGCATCCTATTTCAAGATTTTAAACAGTTTGGCTGGGATCCCGTCGTCTCCCTCTGCCTTGTTGTTAGCAATGCTCCTTAAGGCCCATTCAACCTCACTCCTCAGGATGTCTGGTTCTAATTCACTCACCACACAGTCAAAACTATCCTCGATATTATTATCCTTCCTATACAGATCTTCTGTATAGTCTCGCCACCTTCTCTTGATCTCTTCATCTTCTGTTAGGCAATGAACATAGGGTGGCTTAAAAACACTTGATGGGAAATGCACCTAGAGGTCTTAGTAGACAGCAAGTGGATCATGAGCCAACAGAGTGATGCAGCAGTGTGATGCAGCAGTGACATGACGATGTCAACCACGATGACAATGTCGTCTGTGCGCTTTCAGAAGAAGATCTACAAGCCACTCTAAACACCTTCGCAGAAGCATACACGAAGCTTGGCCTGTCACTGAACATCGAGAAAACCAAAGTGCTGTTCCAGCAGTCACCAGCCATCCCCTCCCCAATGCCAGAGATACAGCTTAATGGTGTAACATTAGAAAATGTTGCCCATTTCCGCTACCTTGGCAGCCACCCCTCCACCAAAGTCAACATCAACACCAAAATACAACACCGCCTGAGCTCTGCGAGTGCAGCATTTTCCCGAATGAACTAGAGAGTGTTTGAGGACCAGGACATCCGTGCTTGTCTATAAAGCTATTGTCCCCCCAACCCTGCTCTATGCCTGCGAAACGTGGACTGTCTATAGACATCACATGCAACTCCTGGAACGATTTCATCAGCGCTGGCTCTGGAAAATCCTGCAAATATCCTGGGAAGACAAGCGGACAAACGTTAGCGTGCTGGAAGAAGCAAAGACCACCAGCACTGAAGCGATGGTCCTCTGCCATCAACTCCGCTGGACCGGCCACGTTGTCCGGATGCCTGACCACCGTCTCCCAAAGCATTTGCTCTACTCTGAACAGAAAACGGAATGTTGAAGGACAGGAAAAGAGATTTAAAGATGGGCTCAAAGCCAACCTTAAAAACTCTGGCATAGACACTGAGAACTGGGAAGCCCTGGCCCTTGACTGCTACAGCTGGAAGTCAGCTGTGATCAGCAGTGCTGCAGAATTCGAGGAGGAACGAGTGGAGGGTGAAAGAGAGAAACATGCCAATGACCAATGTCCGGTCAGCCTCACGTCGATACCAGGCAAGATTCTGGAAAAGATTATTAAGGAAGTGGTCTGCAAACACTTAGAAACAAATGCAGTCATCGCTAATAGTCAACATGGATTTATGAAAAACAAGTCATGCCAGACTAATCTGATCTCTTTTTTCGATAGAGTTACAAGCTGGGTAGATGCGGGGAATGCCGTGGATGTGGCGTACCTGGATTTCAGTAAGGCCTTCGACAAGGTCCCCCATGACCTTCTGGCAAGGAAACTAGTCCAATGTGGGCTAGGCAAAACTACGGTGAGGTGGATCTGTAATTGGTTAAGTGGACGAACACAGAGGGTGCTCACCAATGCTTCCTCTTCATCCTGGAAAGAAGTGACAAGTGGAGTGCCGCAGGGTTCCGTCCTGGGCCCGGTCCTGTTCAACATCTTTAGTAATGACTTAGATGAAGGGTTAGAAGGCAGGATCATCAAGTTTGCAGACGACACCAAATTGGGAGGGATAGCCAATACTCCAGAGGACAGGAGCAGGATTCAAAACGATCTTGACAGATTAGAGAGATGGGCCAAAACTAACAAAATGAAGTTCAACAGTGACAAATGCAAGATACTCCACTTTGGCAGAAAAAATGAAATGCAAAGATACAGAATGGGTGACGCCTGGCTCGAGAGCAGTACGTGTGAAAAAGATCTTGGAGTCCTCGTGGACAACAAGTTAAACATGAGCCAACAATGTGATGTAGCGGCAAAAAAAGCCAATGGGATTTTGGCCTGCATCAAGAGGAGCATAGTGTCTAGACCTAAGGAAGTAATGCTACCCCTCTATTCTGCTTTGGTTAGACCACA